AGTCTCACACCCAAACTGGAGTGCAGTGGCACGCTCCCAGCCACTGCAATCTCGACCTGCTGGGCTCCGGCGATCCTTCCACCTCAGCCTTCCAAGTAGCAGGAACTACAGGCGTGCGTTACCACGCCTGGCTAATTTTTGATTTATTGTAGAGACAGGATCTCGCCAAGTTGCCCAGGTGGATCTCAAACCCGCAAGCTCAGGCCATCCACTCACCTCAGCCTCCCAAAGTGCTGGAATTACAGGCTGAGCCACCGAGCCCGGCCACAGTATATTTTTTACCTAACGTTTATATAGGCTATGTTTGCTTCTTGTGAAGTATTATTCAGCATGTATATGATTTGTCTACACAATTGTTTTCATGAAAAGAGACATCCTGCTTTCTGGTACCGCACTTGGGCGTAACTTGGGGTAGGACCCTTTTAGCACACGGCAAGGGCAAGTGTTCAGCTGTTGGATGGGCACTGTGGAGGAGGTGAGAAAGTATGACCTTCTGAGGCCTGCTGCTGCTGAAAAGGAATCGATTTGCTTATAGAACCAACTGTTACATTTCCCCTCTTCTCTTTTTAAGCTACTGTGCAAACTCTGAAGAAGGGAGAAGGGAAAACACAGTAAAGTTGACAGACAGACCTCTTGGACACACAAAAGCACTCTTTCCTGGAGTAGCTTTCATGGGTAGTGTTTTAATACTGTGTTAGAGATAAGTTTCTCTCCTACCTTTTAAAGCTAATGTGTCATGTTGAGCAAGCCTAGACTTTTTCAAAATATGCCTATCTTCACTGGAAATTTCTCACATCTGACACAAATAAAATGACCTAGCAGAAGCCAAAAGAATGTGTGAGCGTGTCATAAACAAAACACTGTGCCAGCTTTTTTATTTTTTTTTTGGTGAAGGAACATTCTATTTTCCTGAATTTGGAGACTACTTCCAGCTGCCTTCTATATTTGTCTAGGCTCTAAACCAAAAAGTTCTCGACCAAAATTCTGTCTTAGGGTACTCAGTTTCTACCCATTGAATTCTTTCGCAAATCTAGGAGCTATAGAGACCCTACCGTTAACACTGTATTTATTCTGAAGCTGAGAAGTGAATGCATTTTGAATCTGTTCATGAGGTTCTAATTACCCAGTTTTACAGTTATCAAAAAAAATATTCACTGACTGCTAGCAGCTGGTTTGAGATTGTTAATTCAGAGCCATGCTTTAACCTTTAGGGCAGTACTGTCCAACAGAAATATACTGAGAGCTACTAATGTAATTTTTTAAAAGCTGTTTAAATAAAAACTTGTGCATTTATTCATTTTTAAGATTTATGTTATTTTAAAGATGTGGAGTTCAAGTCAGGATTAGGTATACAAGTGGTCATCATACAGGTAAAGTTTGGGTCTCCCTTTGGTCCCCACTTTGCCTGGTTTGAGATCAGGTACCCTTATTAATGTTATGTACCTCCCTTCCCCAGCAGTTTCTGGCTACTGCCAATCCCTTTCTTATAGTATTATGGTAAAAGTTCAGGGTCTACTTATGAGTGACATCATATGGTACTCAGTTCTTTGTTTCTGTGATAAATCACCGAGTATTATAGACTCTAAATCCATCCAAGTTACTGCAAAGTCTTTGTTCTTTGTTCTTCTTTATGGCTGCATAATATTCCATCATGTATATGTACCATATTTTTTTTTATCCAGTTCACTTTTGATGGGCAACACAGTTGGTTCCATGTTTTTGCTATTGTAAATAGTGCAGCAATAAACATGCATGTGTAGGTATCTTTTTTGTAGAGTGATTTAAGTCCCTCCGGGTATAGTCTCAGAAGGGGATTGCAGGGTCATATGGAAGGTCAATTTTTACTTCTTTTAGGAATCGCCATACTATTTCTCATAGACATTGAACTAGTTTTCATTCCCACCAGCAGTGTAGAAGCATTCCCTTTTCTCCTCATCCTCACCAACATCTGTTGTTGTTTGTTTTATTAATGATGGCCATTCTTACTGGGGTTAGGTGGTATCTCATCGTGGTTTTGATTTGCATTTCTCTAATGATGAGTGAGGCTAGGATTTTATTTATTTATTTATTTTTTTGAGTTGGAATCTCACTCTGTCGCCCAGACTGGAGTGCAGTGGCCGCTCACGGCCACTGAGCCTCGACCTGTTGGGCTCCGGCGATCCTTCCGCCTTAGGCTTCCAAGTAGCCGGAATTACAGGCATGTGCTACCATGCCTGGCTGATTTTTTGATTTATTGTAGAGATGAGGTCTCGCTGCCCAGGCGGGTCTCGAACCCGCGGGCTCAGGCAATCCACTCACCTCAGCCTCCCAAAGGCACGGGATTACAGGCTGAGCCACCGAGCCCGGCTTAGGCTAGGCATTTTTTCATGTATCTGTTGGTTGCTTGTGTATCTTCTTTTCAGAAGTGTCTAGTCATGTCTTTTGCCCACTTTTTAATGGGGCTGTTTGTTTTTTTTCCTTTCATCACATTTGAGTGCCTTGTAGATCCTGGGTGTTAGGTCTTTGTCAGATATACAGTTGGCAATTTTTTTTTGAGTTGAAGTTTCACTCTGTCGCCCAGGCTGGAGTACAGTGACATGCTCATGGCCACTGCAGCCTTGACCTGCTGGGCTCAGGCGATCCTTCCACCTCAGCCTTCCAAGTAGCTGAAACTAAAGACACACACCACCATGCCCAGCTAGTTTTTGTGATTCAGTGTGGAGACAAGGTCTCACCATGTTGTCTAGGCTGGTCTCGAACCCCCGGGCTCAGGCAATCATCTTGCCTCAGTCTCCCAAAGTGCTGGGATTACAGGCTGAGCCACCACACCCAGCCGGCAAATATTTTTTTCCCATTCTTTGGGTTGTGCCCCCGCTCTCTTGATGGTTTCTTTGGCTTTGCAGAAGCTTTTCAATTTGATGAAGTCACACTTGTCTGTCTCTTATGTCATGGACATCTGGAGTTTTGATCAGCAATTGGTCGCCTATTCAGATTTCCATAAGGTTGTCTCCTGTATTTTCTAAGATTCTTAAAGTTTGGGGTTTTATGCTTAGGTCTTTAAATACCTCGGCATCTTCCTAACCAGAGAAGTGAAAGATCTTCAGAATGAAAACTATAAAACACTGCTCAAATAAGTCAAAGGTGACACAAACAAATGGAAAAAATACTCTATGCACATGGATTGGAAGAATCAACATTGTTAAGATGCCCATCCTACCCAAGGCAATCTACAGATTCAATGCAATACCCATTAAATTACCAGCATCACTCTTCTCAGACCTGGAAACAATAATACAGAAATTCATATGGAAATACAAATGACCATGAATAGCCAAAACAATCCTTAGCAAAAGAAACAAAGCAGGAGGGATCACACTTCCAGACTTCAAACTTGACTGTAAGGCTACAATAATCAAAACAGCCTGGTATCGGTACAGGAACAGGCATATGAACCAATGGAACAGGAGAGAGATTCCGGAAGCGAAACCTCAATTTCTGAACCAACTCATCTCTGACAAAGTTTCCAACAATGACTGCTGGGGAGAGGAGAAGCTAGTCAGCAAATGGTGCCGGGAAAACTGGGCAACCACCTACAGAAGAATAAAATAGGACCTCTACCTGTCACCATATGCAAAAATCAACTCCAAATGGATCAAAGACTTAAGTGTAAAATGTTCTAGTAGCAGGATTTTTAAAAAGTAAAAATAGTCCGAGTATGGTGGCTCATGCCTGTAATCCCAGCACTATAGGAGGTGGGGGCTGGAGGATCAACTGAGCCTAGGAGTTCACAGCCAGCCTGGACAATACAGCGAGACTTCGTCTCTACAAAAAATTAAAAGATTAGCTGAGTGTGGTGGCACATGCCTGTAGTCCCAGCTACTTTGGAGGCTGATGCAGAAGGATCTCTTGAGCCCAGGAGTTGGAGGCTGCGGTAAGCCATGATTGTGCAACTGCACTCCAGACTGGACAACAGAGAGAGACTCTGAGTCAAAAATAAAAAATTTAGAAAAGTAAAAACAAACAGATGAAATTGATTGTAATAATATATTTTACTTAACCCAGTATGTCCAAAAGTTGTCATTTCAACATGAAATCAATATAAAATATTATTAATAAAATATTTTAAGCTTTTTAAAAAAAACTGATTTTTC